GGGGGAGAGGGAGGGAGAATAATTCCTTTTAAGAAAAAGAATGGAAAGCACCTTGTCAAGAGTAAGTGCCAAATTCTGAAGCCTTTGGTTATAAACACCCTCAGCCTGCCTCACAAAAGAATAGACAAGATGCAATATAATCATATACCGGACCAAAAGCATATAGCAATCATAAGCTGGTAATGCACCTCCCCCCAAAAGAATTTGCACATCACACAATCCACATTTTCAGGTATATACATTATATGTTTTGGCAGTAACCAATGCTCACCTGAATCTCAGCTTCACTTTTCTCGACATCTTCACAAATATCTAAGAAAATTTTCCTTTTCTCTTCCAAATTATGCCTTAGAATCTCCTCAGGAAGCTTTGTTCTTTCAAGCTTTATAAACCTCACCTTCGTTCGAATTTGTATGGACATTTCAGAAACTAAACTTAAGACATCAATTCTAAGAGAGAGATTAGAAGGCAGCAAAAATACATACCAGACGAGCTGAATATGCAATGAGCCAATCAGGTAACCCAGCAAGTAAGCAAGTTCCTAAACCAGCTCTTCCCAACTCAATATAATCATCATCAGATACAGAATTTAACTCACAAGCTTCTAGCATCAAACGGTGTCGGTCTAGCATCCCATGGCACTCCTTAAGTACCTGATTCACATCAAACTCTAGTAAGAAAAAGCAATGTAACATGATGAGTAAGTTGGGTGCTGGCCAGAAATGCTCAATTAATTGAGGCCACACAAAATAAAAGGTAGAAAAAGGAGTATCATATTATGAATGGCTTTGGTGAACTGATCAAGCAAGCCTTCCAGAGCCAACCAGACTCCCCCACCCCATTCCTAAAAAATAAAATGAAAGGGAAGAAAATAAAAATCAACAGAGACCAAGACCAAAATAAGAAGGGGGGAATACTGCTAAGATTGAATTTCTGTAATATGATTCTAAATGAAAGCAAACCAATCAAGTAAGATCTTTTACTCTGTACCTTTTGAAAAGCCCCTTCACCGGTAAGATTTAGATAGCTTCCCCTGCATACTTGGCTGCCACACAAACAAACTGATGCTTCATACTCCTCCTTGCTCTGAAGCAAAAACAAGTGATATACAATTAGGAAACACTTCTCTCAAAACACAATAGAGAATCACAGGCAAAAGATATGCACCTCTGTTACAGAGTTATAATCAAATGTGATTTCCTCGCCATATGCAATAGGCCTTAGAGTATAAATCCCAATCTGGTACTGACCATTCACAGCAGTAACCCTGTTGCATGAAGTGAATAAATAAGTATCGAATTTACAAATCTATACTATATATAAAAGTGCGAATGCAATGTGAAACTTTTTTTGGAATAAAATTACCCTCTACTTTTTTGTTTGAGAAAGGATATAAAAGCCATTTTATTTCAGCTTTAATGGCTACTAAAATGCCCATAATTGTGCATTTAGTCCATCTCTAATGGTAAGGTTGAAAATTAACTTCAATTATTACTTTCCACCTCATTTAATCCCCTCTCATTAAGTCTTATACTTAAATTACTAACTCCCATTTTCTCTTATTAAATTAGATCTGTGTCAATATTTTTAATAATATAAACTCATATTTTAAAACTGACTCGAAAACAAAACCATTTTTAATCCAAGTGGTGGCTAAGCAATTCAGCCATCCGAATCAAATTGACCAACCTACGAAATCATAGTTAGGTAATAAAATTTTTAAAATAGAAATAAATATAGAAACTTACAAAAAATGTAGAAAAATTAGACACATTTATGATATTTTTATTAATCAATTAAAAAAATAAGTGTAATAAACACGAATTATTTTTATTGGTAATGAAAATGAAATACATAATTTAGAAATAACCAAAAATGAAATTATTTTACTATTTGGCAAAGATCAATAGTTCAAAATTTGGGTCAAACATGTTAACCTTTAATGTCATAAATAAATAATAAAAGTTAATAAAATATAAAAATACATAAATTTTGCAAAAAAAAAACATTTAGGCACATGTATAATATCATATATTTATCACATTAAACAAAAAGTAAGTGTGACATATTAGAATTATTTTTGCACACAAAAATACGAAACATAAGTTATAGAAAAAATTGAACATGTCTATAATTCTATATTTACACTACTATTAAAAATATGAATAAGATTGTGGAACTTTCTTTTGACTAAAATACTCATTTTTGAATTTAGTCCCTACTTAATTATGAGGTTTAAATTGTAAATTGAACTACTACTTTTCACCCCATTCAATTCCCTCTATTTAAATTTTACATTTTTTTTATAAATGAACAAAAAAAAGATATACCAAAAAGATTAAATATTACAAAAAAGAAGAATCTAGCCAAGCAAGTAGGCCTATCAATGATACTTGAAAATTCACAACTCGATCCGATTATCACATATTTGGATGAAGTGTTTATGTAATCAGATTTGAATTTTCAATCCGCATCCGTTTAATAATAAAAAACAAAAAAATATATATAAAACAAAAAATAAAAAATACATGAAGTTAATAGAAAATTTTGGATACATTATTACTATCATTATCATCATCTAGAATTACCATGTGCAAAGCATGTGCACACTTACCAGTGATAACAAAATATCACAATATCAATGAACCAGGATGACTTTAAAGCAAAAACATCAAGTGATCAATTGTGATAACATGCAACAGATATTCTGGCAGATGCTTACAACTCAATGATCATGGGTAGTAAAACACCTAGGGCACTACATACTTCATTTACATGTGGTATAAAACAGAAAGGGAATTTATTCAAACCAAGATATAAGATTGGATAAGTAAATAAATGATAACAAGTTATTTTCATTTTTTTATCAATAATGAATTTCATTTTTTTACATTCTCTAAAACTTATTTGTGCCACATTCATGTATAACAGGCCAGCAATTTCATTTTCCCACAGCATAAATAGGTCATTTTGAAGATAAGGAAGCATTCAAAGAAAACATTCTGCATAAGGCATTAATATTCTGTTCATTTTATATGTACTCAGACCTATGTTATCCAGACATGGCAAGGACACAGCTGCACGAGGTGTGGATACAGAGTGTACAACTGTACAAAAATTGTAACTATCCAACACAATATGGCATTCTTTGTACACACATCCAGATATCATAAAGAGATTCAAAGTGCAAATTGTCCAGGCATCAGGTTGCTAAATCTCTCCAATTGAGAGGGGTTAGAGGCTCAGACCATAAAGTTAACAGTTCTGTTTTTTTTTTTTTTTTTTTGATCGAAAGTAACTAAGAAATAAGAATCTATTAAAATAGGTACATGAGAAGATGTAATCAGCAGCCAGACAAGGCAGAAACAAGAGTTACAGGCATAATTCTGTTACTAAACAAAATTTCCCTATGAGCACCAGATTTAGTTAGTTTCCATCATAAATTCCTTGTTCCTATATTTCTCAACTATCACAATAGTTAAAAAAGAGTTTAACATTTTTAATGCACTTCCTTGATTATTCCAGTGCAATGGGCACATATTAACATGCTCCCCCTTCACTTGTTTCAACATGGACATCAAGATGTTTTCGAGGACAGATCACATTATAGAAGAGAGAATGAACTAAAACAAAAATTACTTTGCTTCACAATTAGGTCGGCATGAGTGACAAATCCGGCTTGCATAGTTTGCCTTGTGCATGGCATCAACGACAACTAAATCATACCCGTCACGATCACCCTATAAGACAACCAGATGACTTTATTAGCAATGCATTGAAAAGAGGAAAAATATACAAGCAGATGTACACAACTAAAGAAAGGGGAGGGACCTTTGGCCTCTCAAGATAAATGTTATAAAACTCTGGAGCTGGATCTTTATTGTTTTTTTGCAAGGATCTAACCCCATCTTGCTTCTCGAACCATTTCCAAGCTGGATAAACCTAAAGACATTAAAAACAAAAGGCAACAGAAGTTTCAGGTCGATTTTTTATAGGAAATCGTAACTTTCATTAGATTAACTTAATAGTCATCCGGCATCCCCTTAGAATAGGGTACCAGAACCCCTCAAAAAAAGTTCAGAATTACAACTCAGCCCAAAACAACTCAGCTTTATTTATCCCTTGTCTGGCTAACCCATCACCCAAACTATTTGCTGACCTCCTAACCCACTTAAAAGAAACATCAATCTATCTTGAAGGCTTCTAATCTCCCTCAGGCTTCTAACCTCCTAACCCACCCAAGGTCAAAATAATATTGTTGAGAGACCTCCTTCGGATGCAAGCGGCCTAAACTTAATATGATGATAATGGTAAAAAAGAGACCATGACATGGCTATATAGCATTATCCTGATGGCCCCAAATCCCCATAAGTAGGAATTGGGTGAAAGTGGTAAGAAATTATTTAAGTGCCCAAAATATCTAGTCCACCTTATATTGTTGGTCTGAAACTCTCTAATTCAGTTGGTCTGTCCTTGGTAAAAGTTTGAAGGATGAGTAGTTTTGGGATGGATGGTTTTGTGGAGGCGAAAAGGGGGAGGAAATCCTTGAATGTGGAGACTAAAGACTTTATCTTCGAAGAACTAAGAATCAAAGAGTGTTACAGCCTGAAGATAAGGGAGGTGAAAAATGCTACAGTTCTGGTGGAAGGCTTAGAGATAATAGAATGGTTGAACAAAAAAAAGGATTTTGTGCACGAAGCAGCAATAAAAGGAAAACGGATATTCTGGAAGGAAAATAACACAAAATCAGGAAGAAGATATGTGGTCGAAAGTAAACAGAATGCTAAATGTGCATTCATATCTCTTTCAGAGTTCTTTGAAAAAGGAAGGAAACAAATGGTCTGTTTCCCTGCTGGGAAAAACAGTCAAGGATGGCAAGAAGTGACTGAGATCTTGACTGGCTTCCTAGCTCAAAGGAACTCAGGAACGAAGGAGATGGTGGAAGCTGCAGAAGTAGATAAGGGTCTTTCTGGGGGGAAGTCATCAGTGATGGAGGGGGAGACTCCTAACCAGGATTTTCTATCCATGGCAAACAGTAAGAGTAATCCAATACTGAACGCACATTTCAGCAAAAACTGCTGGAACAATACGTTAGTGGTTGAAGAAAAGAATCTGATTATAGATTGGAGGAGGGTTGCAGATATGTTGATTAGTAAGTTGAGACTAAGGAAAACATTCATATTAACTCCTTTCAACAAAATGAAGGCAGTGTGATCCTCTTGAAAACATGTTGGATGTTGAAGCTCTAAGCAGTCAAGAGGACAAGGAGATCTTCACTGTGTACAGATGGTCTTCCTCTTCCAATTCGAAAACTTTTGCCATTGAAGATGGAGTGATAGTCAGGGTAATTGGGTTGCCGTTCCATCTATGGGAACATGAAGTAGCAGCCTCCATTGCTTTGATGTGTGGAGCTCGTCTGGTGGGGGAATTCTGGGGAGATTTGATGTCTGCTGCTTTGATGTTAGATGGAGTCAAACCAGAGAATATACCTAGGAATATCACTCTCCAGGTTGAAGGACTGTCATTACAGGTGTGATTAGTTTCCTCCATTGAAGCTTCTCTAGGATCAGAGGCTAGAAAGGAAGAAGATGAATGGGTGGAAGAACAGGCCCTACATGGCTGGCTAGGATTGGAGAATCAGAAGATAGAAAGTTGCACTAAAATAGGCAAGCAAAACTTCGGCTACTTAAAAGATATGGGCAGTAAAGAAGGTCAAATACGTGGGACTCAAGGCAAGGACTCGACAGTAAAAAGATCTTTTGCTCAGGTGCTAATTTCTGGCGCCAAAAATTCAAATGAGATAGACCAGTTAGCTTTAAAAAGAAAAACCAGACTGGCTAAGGAAACTGAACCGGCTCTTCAGAAAGTTGAACCGTCGGGTCAAGTCGAAGGGGGTGGCCCCTTAAAAAATCATGTGACTGAGCAATTAAGTAGGGCTGAACCTATTATTTCAATTGAGCCCTCTCAGTCTCTTATTGGGCCGAAGGAAGCTGGCCCATGTTTTAAGTTCTCACATGCCTCTTTAAGAAGGCACTTGACTGAGGAGGGATCAATGTTAGACAAAACTAATCGTCTAGAATCGTCCCCATCGTGCTCTTCCTTGGCTAAGAAGAAGTCAAACCAGTTATCAAGGTGTTACAGTGGGTTCCCTCAAAGACTTTGTCACGACTCTCCAAAGACCGGCGAAATCCGAGATCAGTCCGACAAAGTGACCTTGAAAACTGTGAAGCAGATCTGTCATCATGAGAGCGTCTCAGACTCAGATGCAGATGATCCGATCAGTATAGGAAGCATAAATCTGCAAGTTTCAAAGGATTTGTGGGAGGAAGAAAGTTTAAACACTGCTATTTTGTTCCCAGAGGAGGAAATATGTGCTTCGGAAGGACGTGGGAAAGGGGAGGAGCGGAATAAGGTGGAAAACAAGACTGAAAAGTTAAAGACTCCAACTAATGTGCCACACGAGGATGAGGGGAACTTGGCAGCAGCTATAGAGGATGGTCCGGGCACATCTCTCCTTGCAAACAAATCCTTTCCAGAAAACAGACAGGTAAAGAGGTTCGGTTTGGAGGGGCAGGATTCAACTCTGAAGGTTTACAAGAAAACACTCAGAAAGGAAAATGCACCAAAGTTTTCTATGGTTGTAGGGATTGAAAAGGTTTTGATTGAACCAAGTTTACCCCAACAACCAAATCAGACAGAGGGAATGAGCTCTGGCCAGAATTCTATTACCGATATCCCAACACAACTTGTAGACCATTTCTCTCCTTCTAGGCCAGGTATGTTTGTCCATTCGGGTTTTGTTACTAATCTAGGTTTGTGCCTGAATAAGGGGCCTCGGCATCACAGCTGGAGAGAACAGCCGGAGGTGAGGGAGTAGAAATTGAAAGGGTGATGTTTGAAACAGAGGAAGAAGTTCCATTGTTAGAAAAAAGACAGGAGGAGGAAGTGGAGAGAATTTGGGAGCAAATCTGTGTTTTGCTGGAAGAATATAAAAAGACAGAAGATCTGTTAGAGGTAACACCAAAATAACCAGAACCCCTAGGGAGCAATTGTTGTGAGAAGAAAGGAAGAGGTAAACCTGTGATGTCAAGAAAAGAAACAATTAACAAAAGCAAAAACAAAAACAAAAACAAAAAGGAAAGGTCTGAAGTGGAAAGACTAATTTCAGACATAGAAGGGGACTAAGAGTTTAGTGGAAGAGGGAAGAGGAGGAAGGCTCCAAAGTGAAGGAAGGAGGGTGGTGTGAAGGGTCTCATTCTACAACCGAGTTGATGAAGATCATTAGCTGGAATGTGAGGGATCTAGGTAGGCAGAAAAGGAGGGTGATAAAGGATTTGTTGAAGAAGGAAAGGCCTGACATTGTATTGATACAGGAAGCCAAACTAGTAGTTCTAAATAGAAGTTGGGTTAGAAGTGTGTGGAAAGCAAGAGGTGTGAATTGGTGCTCAACTCCGTCTTGGGGAGCTTGAGCTTCTGGGGGGATAATTACTCTCTGGAGGGAGGATGCGGTAGAACCTTTAGAGGAGCTGATAGGTAACTTTTCTGTATCCTTAAAGTTCAGGATGGTGGAGGATGCTTCACGTGGGTATTAACCAATGTGTATGGGTCGAATATTTACAAAGAGTGAATGAACTATGGGAAGAACTCTATGGAATTCAAGGATTATGGGAAAGCCCTTGGTGCTTGGGTGGAGACTTCAATGTAATAAGGTTTCTAAATGAGTCAAACAATCTATCACAACTAGCATGAGGAGGTTCAATGAATTTCAACAGTTGTAATCTGAAGGAGATTCCCATGCTACAGGCCAACTTCACTTGGTCCAATTTTCAGAAGAATCCATCTTGTTCAAAACTAGATAGATTCCTTTTCAAAGAAAGTTGGGAAGCACACTGGAGGGGTTTGGTGGCTAAATCTCTGCCTAGAGTTACCTAGATCACTGTCCTATAAAGCTAGGCCAAGAGACTTTTGGACTTGGACCTAAACCCTTTAGGTTCGAGAACATGTGGTTGACACACCAAAACTTTGTATATAAAGTTGAGTGGTGGAGAGAAGAGATTAGGGGAGTGAAGTGGAAAGGGGTTAGCTTCCACAAGAAATTAAAAAGTCTAAGATCCAAAATAAAAGATTGGAATAGGGAGGTGATGAGGGCGGATTTGGCCCTCCAATGACATTGTGACACATGGCATCTCAGAACACTAGGTGACACCCGGAACCACTTAGGCAACAACTTAGCCAAGATGATGGTGTCCCGAACTGGCGACCAGGCACAAGCGCCGACCTGGCGACCAGCCTTTATGCTGAACTAGCGACCTAACTAGTAGGATAACAGCTCAGCCTAACACGCCAAGTCCGCAATGGATCGAGCTCGGATAACCATACCACCTCGGGACAGGACCACCTCAGGACAAGTCCACCTCGAGGCAAGTCCACCTCGGACAAGTCTACCTCGGGACGAGTATACCTCAGTGCAAGGTCACATCAGGACCACCTCGGTCCCAAGGCACTTCGGCATTCATATCAAGTCGGATCTAAAGAGCACGAGCTCAGGCAATGCTGACCGACCACCGCATGGCAACCCCGGAGATCTCGCCACCGTACTCCGCGTCTTACGGGATCGTACCTTGTAACGGCTAAATATCATCTCCCCATTCCCCGATTCAAGCGGAAATGGTCAGCCTTACCAGTTGGTAGCGTTATCCCCACCTAACACGGAAGCGGATCCTGTCGTAGCGAGAATTCCGGAACTACTCCACCGAACCCGCAAGGACTCCAGTATATAAAGGCTTCACCCCCCAAGGGTGAAAAGGGTGAAGGAGAAGAGGGAAAAAGAGGCGTAATCTCTACTCTCTAGCTCTCTCACAATCTAATATCATTTTCAACTCGCAACCAAGTGCTAACTTAAGCATCGGAGCAACTCCGCCGGGTAAACACCCTTGGGTTCTCCGGTTCATCTCTTGCAGGTTCATCGAGCCCGTCATTGCTGCTAGCCAGATCATCTCCTGCAGGGAGCAGCCGGATTGCACCACATCATTTGGTGCCGTCTGTGGGATACGCTACAACGCTACAACGTGCAGCCAAAGTTCTCCACTTCGGCCTGAGTCATCAGCCACTTGGAAGCAGACCGAATGACGAGGTACTTAGCACAAAAAATTGGCCATCACCAAAAATTGATACATCAGGAGGAATTTGGTAGATTGGAAGAGCTAAAAGCTAGATTGTCAACCCAAATTGAGGATTTAGATTCAAAGGAGCATCAAAGGACCATGAGTGCACAAGAAAGAGAATTGAGATGGAAGCTGAATAAAGATTTGGAAGAGGTCCTATTGAGGGAGGAGATATCTTGGAGGCAAAAATCTAAGGATAAATGGATCAAAGAAGGGGATGGGAAAACCAAGTTCTTTCGAGCTATGGCTAATGGGAGAAGGAGAAAAAATTTGGTGGCCAAGCTTGAGGTCGAAGGAGTGGTAATCGAGTCCCAAGGGGATATAGCCAACTGCTTTGCAACTCACTTCATATCCATTTTGAGTAGGCCCATGGAGAGACGGGTGAGAGTGGAAGATCTGGATTGGCCAAGTCTATCAGCCGTTGAGGCGGGTTGGCTAGAAAGGAACTTTGAAGACGAGGAGATAAGACAAGTTGTTTTCTCTATGGACATGTCAAAGGCTCTTGGACCAGATGGTTTTACTATGGCTTTCTATCAAGAGTGTCGGGACACTATCAAAGAAGATTTGCTTGAGGTTTTTAAGGAGTTTGAAAACAACCATGTGATTAGTCGTGGAGTTAATGCCACCCCGATTAGCTTGGTGACTAGCATCTATAAGATTGTGGCAAAAGTGCTTTCTTTAAGGATTAAAAATGTCTTTCCCTCTCTCATTACTCAAGCCCAAGGAGCCTTTGTTCAAGATAGGAAGATTATAGCAAATGAATGTGTGGAGGAAATGAGGAGATCAGGCAATCAAGGCTTCACTTGTAAGTTGGACATTAAGAAGGCCTATGACTCGGTGGATTGGAATTTTCTATTAGAAGTGTTAAGAAAATGTGGATTTGGGGATAGATGGTGCAGGTGGGTGAGTGGATGCATAACCTCTTGTCATTTTTCAGTTCTAGTTCAAGGATTTTTTTTCCCAGCATGTAGCAAGCTCGGGCAAGGAGACCCCCTTTCACCCTTCTTGTTCACACTTGTGGTAGATGTGTTTAGTAGAATGATTTCTAAAGCAAATAGGGAAGGGCTTATAAGTGGGTAGAGAATAGGTAGGAATAATGTCTCGATGACTCATCTTCAGTTTGCTGACGATATTATCATTTTTTGTGAAGGGGGAGTCTTAGGGAGAGTGAGAAACCTAAAAGATCTTATTAAATCCTTTGAGTATACTTCAAACCTGACAATTAACTTTGACAAAAGTTGTGTGGTTGGAATCAATTTGGAAGCTTGGGAGACAGAGGCTGTAGCAGGTTGTCTAGAGTGTTCTATGTCTGATTAGCCTTTAACCTACTTGGGTCTTCCGTTAGGAGCTAACCCAAAAGAAAGTCGGTTTTGGTATCCAATTGTGGAAAAGTTCGAAAAGATATTGGCTTCTTGGAAGAAAAGTTACATTTCATTAGGGGGTAGAGTGACCTTGATTAGGGCGACTCTTGCCAGTCTTTCGGTTTTATTCTCTCAGTGTTTAGGATACCTTCAAGGGAAGCTAAGAAACTAGAAAAGGTGATGAGGGACTTCTTGTGGGAAGCAGGGGAAGAAAAGAAGGATTATCTGATTAGGTGGGCGATAGTCAGCAGAAGTAAGGAAGAAGGGGGATTAGGATTAGGTAACCTAGTTCTTAAGAATGAAGCTCTTAAGAATGATTAGGTGGGCTGCCTGTAACTCTTATTTGCTGGTTTAATAAAATCTTACTCATTTATCAAAAAAAAATTAATAATGGGTATGGCAATGAACAGAACAGAATGGCTAAACAGGATTCATATAGCCAACCCCATATAGTCGTACAAGGCTTAGATGATGCTGATGATGTCTAAAATATTAAGTATTCAGATAAAAAGTTCTATAAGTCTATTTTTGTTCTTCACCCTTCACTTTTACAAACATTATGAAATGCTGGGGAGTTTTAATTTGATCTTTAATAAAGATGTGAATGTTGTTAATTATCAAAAATAAAATAAAATAAAATAATGGAGAGAGATGAAGAGCTGGGACAGTTACTTAAAACAAAGGCAATGGGTAAATAGTAAAATGGATATTGCTCTTATTTTTACATATAATTGGAACTGTCATTATCTTGTTTCTACAAAGAGGAACCTAAGACATACCAATGCATTTTGTGCCAGACTAGAGTAGCAGAAAATGAAAAAACATATGCACTATAGTACAAAGAAGCAGATAGCAATACCTCACCCAGAAACTCTACAACAAAATCATCTTCAACAAAACCTTCCTCTTTGTTGCAAACAACTCCAAGCCCCTGATCACCATATCACAATACACAATCAGAAAAATCAAGGTTATAAAAGGCAAAACCAAGGCATTACCAAAAGTCAAGGATGCAGTATTCTATTACAAAAACAATGGAAAGAAGGTGATGATTATAGTAGACCACACAGGAGAATAATAGTTAATATACCTTTCTGTATGCGACATAATTGTCTTCTGGTCGACTTTCTATGGCCTTCAAGATTCCTTGACACATTTTTGAAATGCGTGTATCACCTCCTTGTTGAGCATTGATCCTTACCTCTTCAAGAACATCCTTCAAAGGATACACCATAGGTGTATTTCCAATGCCAGTAAAGAACCTAACTTGTTTATTAAGAGTGTGCAGGAGCACATCTTCAATAAATAAATGCTTCTCCTGGAGTGGCCAATCCAATTCTTCTGGCATGGAATCAAGGAGAAGATTGTGAGTATAAGGATCTATGCCATAGACTTCCTGTTCCAGGACCTCAGTACCAAGCTGTTTTCTAGGTTTGTAGTCCTTTACTTCAGGTATTTCCATATCTGATTCTTCTGTTCCTTTCTTTTGTGCACTAAGTTTCTCAGCATAATCTTCAGGTAAAGAAACCTGCATCTTCCGTTTCACTTCCTCCTCATCTGCTACAATAGCATATTGATCAATGACTTCATACTTCCGAGTAACAGGAGGAACAAGGCTTGCTTTCGTCATGCGAGCACCCCATTCACGATCTTCACTCATTGAGTCAAAGGTTTCATCAGCTGGAAAGTATCCATATCCTCTTAAATCTCCAGTTGCACCCTCTGATTGGAAATCCAAGTCACTGTATGTATCAGAAGCAGTACTCTCATCATCACTTATAGCACCATCAGAAGACCGGTCAGGCTCATCAGAAGTCTCATTTTCAGAATCTAGAGATCGCCTATTCAATTTGAATAACTGCCTTTTAATTTCACGATCAGTTGCAAAATATCCATTATCTGTACCACCATTGACATAGGATAAGCTGCTATTCCTATTCATGTATTTCCTATCGTTCACAATTTTGTTCTGTTTCTTTTTATACTTGGAGGTTGCTGAGCAAAATCCTGAAGTTGACCCATCCTTCAGTGTCCTCATGATTTCATCTCTTCCACGGGATGACTTGGAATAATCTTCCAAACTGGTGATGAGTTGGATAAATAGCATAATAATGTGATTCATGTCTCCAGCATCTCCTCGAGCCTTTGCTCTGCATTAACACATCATATGAAATTACTGGATAATAACCGCAGCATAACATAGTAAATAAAAGTCAAGAACAACAGAATAAATGGTAGTATAGTCTGAGAATAGTTTATAGGCAATAGAAAAAAAAAAAAGCATGCCATGAATCCTATTCAACTTAGGGAGAAGAGATGATAGGCAAGGACCTTAGGTGCATGTAGACCTATCAGCTTAGAGAGGAGAAAAGTTTAGCATCAAGATAGCCCCTCATTCCATTTTCTTTCCAGGTCAGCCAATTTTTTGGCTCATAGCTAAGCAAATGGGTAACAGGAAATGAGCTCTGTTTGGGATACTGATAGGCCCCCAATTATCCTTACATATGCTAGGAGAGGGAAAGGGCAGCGTAAGACAGGTCAGCAGTCGGTTAAGGAGGGAAATGTTTAGATATTGGTGTGCTTATTGTTGAAAGCTAAACTACTGTAACCGAAGTAGCAGAAARGAGAAGAAGAAGAAGAAGAGATGCAGGAATATTGAACTGTTCTAGCCAGTCGACCATGTTATTATTTATATTTGAATGTAGTACAAGATACAAGTAATTACTGGAATGCCCCTGATTAGTGATGGGACACCCAGTAACTTAAAACATTAAACAGGCTTAGGCCCATTAACACAGGCCCAGTTACAGG